GTACATCTTTTCTCAATCTTTGGCGGCTTTGTTTACAATTATTAAACAGTTAATGAGCTCCGAAGCACCAGGAGGCTGTTTATAACAATAACAACAGTTGATTGGCAAGTTTTCATGCTTGTAAACTGTTTAATAAATGTAACCAAAGCCGTCAAAGATTGAGGAAAGATGTACACGTTCATAAGTGCTTGCGTAAGTGCTTTCGTGAATCTGGCCCCTGAAGAGCCATAAATGCTGAAAATAATAATAAGGACGTAGGTGGTGGGGCTGTAAGAGTTTAAGACTGAAGCTTCCTCCTGGTAAGAAGACTGGTCTAGTTCGTCGTCTCCGCATGAAAGAGTGCCAGAGTGCCGTGTTTACTACAGTCACCCATAAGGAGAGCACTCGTGAGGCACTCAGAGATGGGGGTCAGGGAGACCAAGGCACCCGGCAAGGGTAACTGCACCATGCATGGCACTGACCCACCACACACCACACCATGCATGGCACTGACCCACTACACACCACACCATGCATGGCACTCATCCACCACACCCACCACACCATGCATGGCACTGACCCACCACACACCACACCATGCATGGCACTCACCCACCACACCCACCACACCATGCATGGCACTGACCCACTACACACCACACCATGCATGGCACTGACCCACTACACACTACACCATGCATGGCACTCACCCACCATACATCACACCATGCATGGCACTGACCCACCACACACCACACCATGCATGGCACTGACCCACCATACATCACACCATGCATGGCACTGACCCACCACACCATGCATGGCACTGACCCACCAGACCATGCATGACACTGCTACAAGTGCCAACACTCAGATAACCCATCAGAGCTATGAACTAAGGCACCATTAGCCATACAAAAAAACATCACATAATTATAATAAGCTCCGAATCCTTCCTCTAATTACTCCCAGCTGGCACTTTCAAAAATTATAATTAGCCACGTATTTTGAAAACTGATTAAACAAGAATCCTTTTGAGGAAAATGTTAATTTTCTGGAGGGTGGGCGCTCCGCCCAGGTTGCGAACGCGTCCATAAATCAATTAATATGGGTACATGATTTATTTTCAATTCCCCAGGGCAGGGTGAATCTGGTCTATTACCTTCCCCGTAAGTTACCGCCAGACCCACTCTCTCTCTCCTGCTGGGTGGACTCCTCTGCTTTCCTTCCTGCTTCCTGCTCTCCTCTGCTATTATCAAATGCCAGAAACGACCAATGTAATACATTAAAACAAAGGGGGGTCGTCACCCCTGGGAGAGGTGGTATCACTAGCTTCGGTACCCACCCTGACGGCCGTGGTACCTTCGATATAGGTCGTCATCGTGGGAGTGATGGTACCCCCAGCAAGGGTCGTCACCGTGGGAGAGGTCTCTAGGCCACATACAAGCCCTGGCGTCACACCACGAGTAGTAACTATCGACCCCCCCATCACCAGCTGCTCCGCGTCAACGACCTTGTTCGTTGGCTCCTCGTTCAGCGCGGTAATTGTTAACGATAAAGTCGAGGTGATAGTTGGTCTCACTTACGAGGCTCAGGGTGACGGCTCTAATGAGCTCTGTGGGTTAGTTACTTGGGCTGGGAACCGTTACTTAGCTTGATCGTTACTGATGCTGGAGTAACTAAGCCACGATTTTGCAACTAAGCTTTGCTGCTGAATTGAATTATTGCAATTGGTTTAATGGTGTTGCTTTGCAGGTTTAGCTTGAGTTGCTGTGCACCAAGCCTGGCAGTGTAAGGCTTATTGTGCACCAAGCCTGGCAGTGTAAGGCTTATTGTGCACCAAGCCTGGCAGTGTAAGGCTTATTGTGCACCAAGCCTGGCAGTGTAAGGCTTATTGTGCACCAAGCCTGGCAGTGTAAGGCTTATTGTGCACCAAGCCTGGCAGTGTAAGGCTTATTGTGCACCAAGCCTGGCAGTGTAAGGCTTATTGTGCACCAAGCCTGGCAGTGTAAGGCTTATTGTGCACCAAGCCTGGCAGTGTAAGGCTTATTGTGCACCAAGCCTGGCAGTGTAAGGCTTATTGTGCACCAAGCCTGGCAGTGTAAGGCTTATTGTGCACCAAGTCTAGCAGTGTAAGGCTTATTGTGCACCAAGTCTGACTGTGTAAGGCTTATTATGCACCAAGTTTGACAGTGGGTGAACAAAGCTCTTGACAGTTGGCTGATAGTTAAGGACGAACGAGGCTTGACGCTAATTACGGCCCACGACCCCTAACCTCCCGTTATTGAAACGTGGAGATCCAACGCCGTAGAGTTTTATCTAGGCGACAATATCCGCCGAAATTCACTGGCCAAACTTAATATCCTTCACTCGACGGCAGCGTTAACTGTCAAACCACTACACGAGCACACATGTAAGGGGGTCGCAGAATTGACTTGACCTAACTTGTATTAAAACTTTTCATAGGTAACAAGGACTCGGGATGTTGTAATAAAGACCAAACAAGTTCTTTACGGTTTCAAGACGAAACAAGTTCGATGAGAGACTCCAGACATCACAAGTGTTTACTAGGAGAGGAGAGTGAGAACTTGACTTCACCCAGAAGTAAAACGCTGCTAGTAACATCTTCCCTGACTTCTGATCCTTTCAGATTGAAAAGTTTTCGATTTTCACCCAGTTAATCAACGTTGTATCGCGTCTACATTCACACACGAAAGGCCAAAGGCAGGGTGTTTTATATAGAATACTCCGCAGAAATCACAGAAGGCCTACAGCTGGGCCAGGCTGATCAGCTGGTACAGACAGGTCAGCTGATACAGACAGATCAACAGCTGACGCAGGCAAAGGTCGTGAGGAAAGTTGAAGAAGCTGACGACCGCCTCAGCCCTTTCTCATGACCCCAGATGACCTCTTAAGACTGTGGTGGCTAATTACCATTGTCCTCTAATGACATTAGGAATAAAGTGGCGTATAATTGGATTTCGCGGAAATTATATAGAATGCTCAGGATTTGTCACTGAATTTATGTGCAGATTTTTGACAAATATTCATTACATCACTAAGTAATTTAGACCTTAAGGACAGTCACGACGTGGTGGAGGAATTCATATATTACAGAATGTTCCTTGGAATGGAAGGGTCAGAGTTGTGTGCTTGTCGGGGACAATGTGAGTCTAACGAGACAGTTTCTTGTATTCTTGTGTCGCTGTGGCACGATATCTTCCAGCCAGTGGAGGGAGCTTTGACCCCTCAGGTTATACTGACTTGGCTGAGGGGTATACTGTGACCCCCCCCCCCCCGGTATACTGTGGTATACTGTGACCCCCCCATACTCCCCCCCCCTACCCCGGCTCTGTCTCTTTCACTCTCTATCTTCCTCCCTCTCTTGCTCTGTTTTATCTCTATCTCCCCCTCCCCCCACTCTCTCTCTTTCTCCCCCTCCTCTCTCTCTCTTTCCACCCCCTCTTTCTCTCTCTCGCTCTCTTTCCACCCTCTCTCCCTCTCTCTCTCTCTCTCTCTCTGTGCCTTTCTCTCGGTTCAAAGTCATACCCTCTTAACTGAATTTATGAGACGTATATGGCGTTACGATAAATAAATATAAAGCTCATGTTGTAACTAGAGCATGACATTTCTTCACAATAGTTTGTACTGATGATTTATATCTATGTCATATCTTCACTACACGGGTCGCCTCTTCGAGCCCCAACCATAACCGATCAAGTTTGTGTTATTGATTCAAAATTCTCATTTAAGAAATCGGTCGTCACACATTTGGACTACACAAGGAAATCCCAATAACTTGTTATATCTTGAGAAAATCATTGGAGGAGAAACGGGGGATCGAACCCGCGTAAAACTCAATCTCCAGCCTTACGCATAAATGTTTGCAAACTATTGTGTAGCGGCTCTCCAGCAAGTGGCGGGAGTTACTGTGTTGTGCCTGTAGACAACCCGTTCTCGCACTTGCTTATAGTCAATATTGGCTTATTTAATAAGTGCATATGTGACATACTAATTGATTGTGAATATTTTAGTTTACCTTGAAAAGCTTCATAGAAAACACCGACCTCACCTAACCTTCTTAGTATGCTAATATAAGCATCTTATTGCTTCTTAATTACAATTATTACTTAACCTATACCTATAATAGGTTAAGTAATAATTGTAAATAAGAAGCAATAAGATGCTTATCTTAACATACTAAGAAGGTTAGGTAAGGTCGGTGTTTTCTATGAAGCTTTCCAAGGTAAACTAGTATGTTTAGTATGTCACATATGCACGTATTAAATAAGTCAATATTGACTGTAAGAAAGTGCAAGAACGGGTTGCTTCATATGGTACACAAATGCCTGTAGCTCCCGGAGGAAGATCAAATGGCCAGGAGAACCCATTGGTGGTGTTCGCTTGAAGTCATTACTCACTGCCTGTTGGGCGTCGACTTGAGGGAGGGGGCCGTGTGGGGCCCCTACTGGGTGATATGTTGCCGTGATAGCTGCCATACTAAAGATACCCTGGCATCACACTACCATACTGGTGCTCACACTCCTCTTAACACCTACACGCCGGGGGGACCCTCACACTACTCCTCCACGCTATATAAAATAATGGTAGATCTAAATAGTCAACATACGTAAAATACTTTAGCTGACAACAGCAACTTTTGCCACCTCAGCTAGTCTCAGTTCACTAGCAGGCTTGTCTCAGCTCACTAGCAGGCTTGTCTCAGCTCACCTCAGCTCACTAGTAGGCTTGTCTCATCTCAGTTCACTAGCAGACCTATCTCAGCTCACTAGCAGGCTTGTCTCAGCTCACCTCAGCTCACTAGCAGGCTTGTCTCAGCTCACCTCAGCTCACTAGTAGGCTTGTCTCATCTCAGTTCACTAGCAGACCTATCTCATCTCACCTCACCTCACTAGCAGACTCATCTCAAAAGAGTTAGATGACATTAACATCCAAAAATCCCCCAAGAACCTACTCCCCGTCCTGTTTAGGTGGTATAAAACATGTGTTAATGTCCGCAGGTGTTGACGTTGTGGCTAGTGGTGGTGGTGGTGGGGACGGCGCTGGAGAAGACGGCGCTTGTGGAGACATTGGCGCCAAGACTTACTGGAGACGATGGGGAGGCGACGATGGCTAGGGGCAAGCTGCGGCCTCCTCCTGGCTGGCTACCTCACTCTCACTACACTCACATACCTCATACAGATAGCCAGACCCACAGGTGAGAGGGAGGAGTACGAAAGGCAGTAAAGTATGAGGGTGGAGCATGAGGGGTTGATAATGAGGGCTGGAGCATGAGGGGTTGATAATGAGGGCTGGAGCATGTGGGGTGGATAATGAGGGCTGGAGCATCTGGGGTGGATAATGAGGGCTGGAGCATGTGGGGTGGATAATGAGGGCTGGAACATGAGGGGTTGATAATGAGGGCTGGAGCATGTGGGGTGGATAATGAGGGCTGGAGCATGAGGGGTGGATAATGAGGGCTGGAGCATGAGGGGTGGATAATGAGGGCTGGAGCATGAGGGGTTGATAATGAGGGCTGGAGCATGAGGGGTGGATAATGAGGGCTGGAGCATCTGGGGTGGATAATGAGGGCTGGAGCATGTGGGGTGGATAATGAGGGCTGGAACATGAGGGGTTGATAATGAGGGCTGGAGCATGTGGGGTGGATAATGAGGGCTGGAACATGAGGGGTTGATAATGAGGGCTGGAGCATGTGGTCGACAATGTCACTAGATCCGTATGATATTTACGCTAGTACGCATGGACAGGATATTAGGACGGGGTGGGGGGGGGGAAGAGCATTGTGGGCCAACCGCGTGGACCGTCGGGGATCGAACGCCGACCTGCTATAAGCCAGGCCGTCGCTGTACTGACCAGTCCACGTGGTTTAGCTTCAAAGGTTTCAAAAGTATGTCTTAGATGGTATATAAAGACATTTGGACAAAATGTTTGGCAGAACTTTTGTCAACAATTGAACTGGCCAATACAACAGCTCTAGTATAAACAATTGAGAATAGAGCAAAACACGCAAGTAAAACATAGACAAGAATGTCATGTAGGGAAGAAAAACGATATATTGTGGAAATAAAGAAAAAACAATCAAGTTAGGCGATAAATCTGTCAATATTTCCGTTTTCTTTTTTGCTTCTCTCCCAGGGGTAACTTATGAGCCCTGGCTCTCGTCTCCAGCCTTACAGCCAACCCGATCTTTCCACTACCGGCCTCGTCCATCCCGAATTTATGATTAACAAACGAACAAATCCACAAGGGCCGTGACGAGGATTCGAACCTGCGTCCGAGAGCATCCCAGACGCTGCCTTAATTGACTGAGCGGATTTGTTCATTTGATGCATCACGCAATTGTGAATTCTGTGTGTAATGATTAACACAAATTTAACAAAATAGATGGAGCCCCATCATATATTCTATATAGAGCCCCACCATATATTCTATATAGAGCCCCACCATATATTCTATATAGAGCCCCACCATATATTCTATATAGAGCCCCACCATATATTCTATATAGAGCCCCACCATATATTCTATATAGAGCCCCACCATATATTCTGTATAGAGCCCCACCATATATTCTATATAAAGCCCCACCATATATTCTATATAGAGCCCCACCATATATTCTATATAGAGCCCCACCATATATTCTATATAGAGCCCCACCATATATTCTGTATAGAGCCCCACCATATATTCTATATAGAGCCCCACCATATATTCTATATAGAGAGAGCCCATCATATATTCTATATAGAGCCCCATCATATATTCTATATAGAGCCCCATCATATATTCTATATAGAGCCCCACCTATATCCACATAGTCTCTGTACTCTAATAAACATAATGTACCTCCATTTATATAAATTTTGGGTTGGCCTGAAAGCTGGCTATTTTTGCTTCTAGTGGTATACTTTGCCTATTACAGGCGAGGAGTCACAATAACGTGGCTAAAATATGTTGACCAGACCACACACTAGAAGGTGAAGGGACGACGACGTTTCGGTCCGTCCTGGACCATTCTCAAGACGACGACCGAAACGTCGTCGTCCCTTCACCTTCTAGTGTGTGGTCTGGTCAACTTTGCCTATTAGTTTTATGTGGGTTAAGAGAACCTGGTTAATTTGGCGACAGTTCATTTACACCTACAGTGGCCAACCGCTCAATAAAAAAGTATATTTGTATTATATTGAGGAAGAAATTCTAATCACATCGCCACCTGTCATGTAGTTAGGTTAATTTTCAGTGAGACGTGTTTCAAAATCATTTCAAAGAACTGGAGGAATTCCTCCAGTTCTTTTGAACTGAACTTGACAATCAAGTTCAAGGTTTTATTTGCCCGAAACGCTATGCGTATTAGTGGCTTTAAGTATTGTATGTACCAGCTCTATCTATAAATCCAACATTATGTATATAACTCTTCATCAATGTATCTACTTTTACCTGAATAAAAATTTGAATTTGAATTTAAGTAAGTGTCGGGAAATGAAGCTCTGAAAAAGAAAACGAGAACGTATTAGAAGGGCAAACTCATAAGGACGTCCGAGGTCAGTTAATAACTTGCACCAATCCCAACCCGACGTTCCTTGACTGGCTGGGACCGGAGGAAGACGCTAGATGGAGCTGCCGGATGATATAATTTGACCGTAAAGACAGAGTTGGCATTATTATTTGCCAAGTTTAAGCTCCTCTCACGAGGAAGAACCCCACTTGCACTAGTGGAGATCTAGAAGTTTTCACATTACAGTTAAGATGTCGTGGTAGGGATTGTAGAGGGTGGGTGGTGGTGTGGGTGGCTGGTGGGTGGTGGTGTGGGTGGTGGTGTGGGTGGTGGTGTGGGTGGGTGGTGGTGTGGGTGGGTGGTGGTGTAGGTGGCTGGTGGTAGCTGGTGGCTGGTGGTGGCTGGTGGTGTAGGTGGTTGGTGGTGTGGGTGGGTGGTAGTGTGGGTGGGTGGTGGCTGGTGGGTGGTGGTGTGGGTGGCTGGTAACTGGTGGTTGGTGGTGTGGGTGGCTGGTGGTGGCTGGTGGTAGCTGGTGGCTGGTGGTGGCTGGTGGTGTAGGTGGGTGGTAGTGTGTGTGGCATGTACCCACAAACCCCACCTCCCCCACTCCCCCACCCACTCTTGTCCAACCAGAGCCCATAATATCGTAACTGTATAACTCTCAAACTTTCATTACCATATAAAATGCATTTCTTTGAATATCCTTATTTTTTTAAATTAATTTTTTAATTTATATTTTCATATCTTGATGAAATTTCCAAAGTGAGAATATATATATATATATATATATATATATATATATATATATATATATATATATATAATGATTATATTTGTTTAATTGTGGTGTTATCAGTGCATACAGTTCCCGATATTACAAAACTTCTAATAATATTATTATTATTATTCTAATTATTCCAAACGTAAGGACATAACAATGGCGTGAATTACCAATGAGAAAATGAGAAAGATCAGTGCGGGGATTTGAACCAAGGTCCTGGCGAACACGAGAAGTGTGCCTTACTAGGGCCAGGGGCAGGACAAAAGCTACTCATCCTGGGACGCGATTGAGTCCTCTTAAAGATCGGTGCTACATATAGCATGTCACGATAGCAATCACTGCTATGTGTAATCCCTGCCACATACAGCATGGCATGACAGGAATCACTGCCGCATACAGCATGGCATGACAGGAATCACTGCCACATACAGCATGGCATGACAGGAATCACTGCCACATACAGCATGGCATGACAATAATCACTGCCACATACAGCATGGCATGACAATAATCACTGCTACATACAGCATGGCATGACAAGAATCACTGCCACATACAGCATGTCATGACAATAATCACTGCTACATACAGCATGGCATGACAAGAATCACTGCCACATACAGCTTGTCATGACAATAATCACTGCTACATACAGCATGTCATGACAAAAATCCCTGCTACATACAGCATGTCATGACAAAAATCCCTGCTACATATAGCACATTAAACATCAATGTCACTTCACTGTCACTGCGCCTCGCAGTGAAACAAACAAAAGTTCCCCTGTTGTGATCACAGCAATAACCTACCACAAACTACAGAGTTCGGACCAACTATCACTGCCCGAGACTCAGAAGAGCATTACAAAACGTTGACCAGACCACACACTAGAAGGTGAGGGGACGACGACGTTTCGGTCCGTCTTGGACCATTCTCAAGTCGATTGTCTCACAGTCTCAAGTCACACAATCGACTTGAGAATGGTCCAGGACGGACCGGAACGTCGTCGTCCCTTCACCTGGTGTGTGGGCTGGTCAACATACTTTAGCCCCGTTGTGACTCGTCGCCTGCATTACACAACGTGACTATAAATGTGGTGTTGGTTACAGGGGAGAGTGATGGGGTCGGAGCTGAGCAGTACACCCTGCCTTCCCTGGAGGAGGTGATGCAGGGAGTCCACGATCTGGATGTTCAGCGTGTCCTCAGCATGCATCAGACTCACCACCTACAGGTATGTCTCGCCTCCTTCATAACAAGAATAATTAGTATAATTTATTGCACAAACGTATTCATATGCTGCATAAATCTTCAATTGTTATTAGAGACTGCAGCTGAACTCATACGTGCCAATAACTGTGAGCCGTATTGAGAACTATGTGGGAATGACAGTCAGGGGTTGCAGACGTGAGTGACAGGTGACAATACTGTTGTCACCTGTCACTGTTGATGTATATGCATATATACATACTAAACAGTCGGACCTACGCTTAGCTTCCCAGCTGGACGTTAGCGTTTTCCAGAAGAGAATATTCCGTTAATGTTTCAGTTTAACGTTCTGAGGTAGAAAATATTATGTGACTGCTCTAGACTGACGTCTAAGGTTGAGAATGGTTCAGACTGACCATTCAAGCTTAAGATGGCTGCTAAAGCTTTACGTTAACAATTGTTGTTTACACATACACATTACAGGGAGCCGGTCGGCCGAGCGGACAGCACGCTGGACTTGTGATCCTGTGGTCCCGGGTTCGATCCCGGGCGCCGGCGAGAAACAATGGGCAGAGTTTTTTTCACCCTATGCCCCTGTTACCTAGCAGTAAAATAGGTACCTGGGTGTTAGTCAGCTGCCACGGGCTGCTTCTTGGGGGGTGGAGGCCTAGTCGAGGACCGGGCCGTGGGGACACTAAAGCCCCGAAATCATCTCAAGATAACCTCTCAAGATACTGTACAGCGAGAGGTTCTTGAGCATGTTACACTTCTATGTGCAGAATTGAATTGAATGTTGTACATTAGCTGTTAAAATTTAATAAATACTAAGTGATTGCTAGCTTAATAAACCATGCTCGTTAATAAACTATGTTCGTTAGACATGGAGGGTATGTCTAACGAGCCCCCTGCACTTGTTAGGGTCAAGCAGGTGTTTGATCATTATTTTAATCTGAAACTTTATTCATCCGTTGGAGCAATATCAGACTCATATTTACTGGCTCACAGATTCACTGACTTGCATGTCGAATGAGAACATATGTTGCCATGCTTGTGTCACACTAGCCGAGCAACATACTATACACATCAACCAGTGTGAATGTGTATTGAGGTGTGAGTGGCGTGGGCCTGTGAGAGCTGGGGTACAGCATGCTGGAGGTCACAGCCCCGCTCCTGTGCCGTGCCAGGTAAGTCCACTACGGGCTCACCATAGCCCGTGCTACTCGAAACTGCTGAATCTAGACCAACAACATCTGGTGTCCCACAGGTGCCAGCCACGCCGCCAGTGAGGGTGGTGGTGTCGTCGACGTGGAGAAGCGGATCGACGCTGCTAGCGGAGATCTTGGCGGCGCACCCCGGGGTCTTCTACCACTATGAGCCTCTCATGTCATACGGTCTGCAGCAGCTGGCTCCCTCCAACACCCACCAGGTAACCCTCCAACACCAGGTAACCCTCCAACACCAGGTAACCCTCCAACACCAGGTAACCCCCAACACCAGGTAAACCCCCAACACCAGGTAAACCCCCAAACACCAGGTAACCCCCAACACCAGGTAACCCTCCAACACCAGGTAACCCTCCAACACCAGGTAACCCTCCAACACCAGGTAACCCTCCAACACCAGGTAACCCTCCAACACCAGGTAACCCTCCAACACCAGGTAACCCTCCAACACCAGGTAACCCTCCAGGTAAACCCCCAACATAAGTCCTGCTATTAATTCACCCTTCTTAGTTACTTTACGTAATATAAAATTACGGAACCTCTAAAATAAAATGACACATCTTCAAATACAAGAAGGAAATTCTCACACGTGTTCTGAATTGAAGGATTCAACCAAACTACCTATAGGTGTATGCATTACACAGGTTTGTTTAAACATACATGACTGGAGATACACACACAACAGGTCAAACTTGCCACTCACCGGGTACTGAGGGAAACTAAGGTAAACTCACAATTATGAGGTATACGCCTTGCACCGCGCACCACCACACTGAGAACCCAAGTCCCCACCCAGCGTGCGGAGGTGAGGCGCGCGGTTACAAGCGCCCGGAAACGCCACTTTTCAAACACCCATTTACAACACACTCGAAAGCACTGGTAAATGAAACAGGAAAACTAATATTGCCAAATATAAGATCAAACAAACTGGCATTTAATACAAATATAACAACATTGAAACATTCTCTTTTATACACAACAATAAAAGCTACAGTAACACCTAGACTGTAGACAACTAATAAACAAATTGTATATATCATTAATTCTCTTGACATTTTCCTTTTTCTGTAGATTTATCTGAGAAATTAAGTGACATTTTAGCTTTGCTCTTATAGTTAAATGGCTTCAATACGTGCTCAACCAAGCTTTTTTACCTTAGCCTTTTGAATGAATATATAATTGAGGTGTTTGATGTGCACATATAATCAGAATATAATCAGTTATTAATTTCACTATAATATTTGCTCAGTAATGAGTTCCATAGTGTTATAGGCAGATATAATGAGCGCAAAATAATATCTTCACAAGCAATTTAAATGTAACATTTAGTAAAGACAAATATCAGAAAAAAACACTAAGCCATTACGACTCTTTAAAAAAAACACGATAGAATTTAGTAATGAATATGCAGGCGATGAGTCACAATAACGTGGCTAAAATATGATGACCAGACCACACACTAGAAGGTGAAGGGACGACGACGTTTCGGTCCGTCCTGCACCATTCTCAATTAGGGAACAATCGACTTGAGAATGGTCCAGGACGGACCGAAACGTCGTCGTCCCTTCACCTTCTAATGTGTGGTCTGGTCATCATAGTAATGAATATCTTTTTATATTGGCGTCAGGGGGAGGTGGAGAGGGTGCTGCGAGGACTACTGCAGTGCGACTACCGGAACGCTGACGACTACCTCAAATTCGCCTTCATCAACCATGAGATGTTCGTGCGCAACACGCGGCTCTGGTCCATGTGTAGCGCCATGCCACGCACCAAGTGCTACAACCCTGACACCTTGGCGCGCCTCTGCTCTCTCTTCCCCATCCACGTCATGAAGGTCGTGCGCGCTAGGTTAGATCTCTTGGCGCCGCTGCTGCGGAACCCGCACGTGCGGCTAGTGTGGCTAGTGCGGGATCCCCGCGCAGTCATGAGTTCCAGAAGAAACAGCGTCTCCTGGTGCCAGACCCGCTCGTGCAGTGACCCTGGCTACCTCTGCTCTGACCTCCAGGCAGACTTCAGCGCCTACCTGCTTTTGAAGGAAGACTTCCCAGGGCAAGTAATGTTGTTGCGGTACGAAGACCTCGCCCGCAGCCCATACGACAAGAGCCGCGAGGTCCTCCAGTTCGCTGGACTCAGTTTCCAGCGTCAAGTCCAGGAATATCTAGATGATCACCTGACGTCTGATGAGGACGAGCCCTGGAGCACCCGTCATGACCCCATGACTCGTGTGGGGCGCTGGATGAAGATCATGCAGTTTGAGGACGTAATGAGGACCCAGTACCACTGCCAAGGAATTATGAAAAACCTCGGATACCGACTCTTCGCCTCAAAATCCGACATGGATAATGGGAATGCTGTCGGACTCCTGAACATTCCATAAAGCTGACTTCTTACAACAAAATATGTGCATATTTTGTATATTTTATAAGGCATTTATAACCAAAAAATAGAATAAACTGGGAAAATTACTTTTCTACATTAAGATACTAAACTATTATAACTTAAATCGAACAAAACGTTGCGTAGATTGTATGAAGATACGGATTTCCCCTTTATTAGTGGTTTCTATAAATATTAAATATTATTAACAGAATATATATATTTTGAAGTAGTGTTTGAAAATAATTAAAAAGAATCTTAAGATTTTAACAAACACAAATGGCATTACTGTCAGAAAATTATCTTGGAGAAACGACAACCTTCAGACGTGCACTACCAGGAAGGTGTCGGACTTCTGCACGTGTCTGCACGTAAGCTCGTGCTTCTGCACGTGTAGTCTGCGTGTCTCTGCACGTAGTTCTGTAGGTTTTGCACAATTTGTATGTCAAGTCATTGTCTGTGATATATAAGGCTTTCTATATATGCTGAAGATGTATATATTTTCATCTATGTAATGCTCAGACTTTAACCTTTCAAATATATTTTAAGACTTATTTTATGAGAAAGAATTAGACTACCTGACACTCTTATATACATTTTACACCTGTTTCAAATTCTATTAAATATTTTTCAAGCACTGATAGAATTTCCACTACTGCAACCACCAAATAAAACTTCAAATATAATCTATTGGCATTTTTTCTAACCAAATCTAATGAATGCTTCTAAATCCATTCTCTCACGTTGTCCCACTCAGCTAGATAGCCTCAAGCACTGTTGCACAGTGTTTTCAGAGAACTATGGGAAGGGTGTAAGAGAAAATGATAGATGTGGCAATGTTGTCGAATCACTGAGAAAACATAAAACATTACTCCATTATGTTTGCTGGATATCTCCCCATCAACACCCCACTTTCAATCTCCTCCCCCACTCTCCTTCACCCCACCTGCTGCCCTTCCCACATCACTGTGGGGTGTCAACACCCCTGAGGGAGTGTCAACACCCCTGTGGGAGTGTCAACAGCCCTGTGGGAGTGTCAACACCCCTGTGGGAGTGTCAACACCCCTGTGGGAGTGTCAACACCCCTGTGGGAGTGTAAACATCACTGTGGGAGTGTCAACAGCCCTGTGGGAGTGTCAACACCCCTGTGGGAGTGTCAACATCACTGTGGGAGTGTCAACACCCCTGTGGGAGTGTAAACATCACTGTGGGAGTGTAAACATCACTGTGGGAGTGTCAACAGCCCTGTGGGAGTGTCAACACCCCTGTGGGAGTGTCAACACCCCTGTGGGAATGTAAACATCACTGTGGGAGTGTCAACACCCCTGTGGGAGTGTCAACATCACTGTGGGAGTGTCAACACCCCTGTGGGAGTGTAAGCATTACTATAGGAGTGTCATCTTTCAGCATCACTATTTGATGCCGTTGTGCATAAAATCCTCTATACAAACTCGAGCAATACTTAAGATAATACAATACAATACAATACTTAAGTATGGAATAGTGCTGGGATAGGTAAGGGGGAGTACCTCTCGGGTAGGAATCAGAGAGTAACGTTAATGATATGGGAGAAAAAATAAATGTCGAGAGGTCAGAATGGGGTACAGAGACCGACAGAAGAAAATGTAATAATTTATATCCCTGTTTGATGATGTAAAGCGTATGAGATGAGTTAGATACGAAGATGATTGTGAGACTTCAAGAGACCTGGATACGCCCCGGGCTCAGAGAGAGAAAATAGACAAGTATGAGACAAGAGTTGTCTCAGAACTGAGGGGGGGACTCCGCTACAGCGAGAGGCTGAGAGAACTCTAAACTCATAATTTTGGGAGAAGAAAGATTCGGAGGAGATATGAGTACAAGGTGAGTGAGGTGAGTACACGCTAGGCCCAAATAGAAACTACTTCAGAGACGGGCCACCATCACCTCCCAGAAGCTCCTCAAACACACACACACACACACACACACACACACACACACACACACACACACACACACACACACGTCATTAATATATAAACTGATAATTGATTTCCTTCATGACGGTGCGTTCAAACTGATGCTCACTTTTGACATTGTAGTGCTCAATAGACCAAAATAATGCAAACTCGTATATTTTTTAATTTTCTGTTATTGATTTCCTCCCAGAATCCACAAATATAAGTATAAATAAATATCCACACACTGGAGTGTTGGCATGCGTACGGGTCTCCTGACATTTACAGTCGCCAGCCTCCACGATGGTACACCATGACGGCCAGTCTTGGCTAGCTCTCCTGACTGCTTGCTCTGCTGACTGCTGGCACTCTTGACTGCTGGCCCTGCTGACTGCTGGCCCTTCTGACTGCTGGCCCTTCTGACTGCTGGTCCTGCTGACTGCTGGCCCTTCTGACTGCTGGCCCTTCTGACTGCTGGCCCTTCTGACTGCTGGCCCTGCTGACTGCTGGCCCTTCTGACTGCTGGCCCTGCTGACTGCTCCTGACTGCTGGCCCTTCTGACTGCTGGCCCTCCTGACTGCTGGCCCTGCTGACTGCTCCTGACTGCTGGCCCTCCTGACTGCTGGCCTGGGGACCCATCATCACCACGTAATAACAACACAATCAGAAGCTTTATAACAACACAAATCGTTACAGTTGTGGCTGTATTGAACAGTTGCACACAAGTGAAAAACAACCTTACATTTGTGTTTATATATACACAAACAAAATAACGTCAAGTTCACTATTCCAGTGGTCATGTAATTTGGTATACAGATTCCACTGCGACAAAAGACAGGGGCAAAGTTCGGCGCCAAACTAATCAAGAGTCCAATATTGATTTGTGTGTGTGTGACATCTCTGGTATTTGTGTGTAAAGGTTGGCTGTGACGCTGGTCGCTGCCACACATATACACTCTTTTCAAATCAACAGTAATGTGTTGACAATGTGCGGAGTCCATTTGTTCCATGGAGCCTCCAGTGATATCGCCAGAGCTGTCAAGATTGGTAGCAAGAACGTTGTGGAGATTACGAAATCAAAATGGATTAGAAAATACCGCTTCCTGGGTTGCAGAGCACCCACGTGCCTTGGCAATACCAGAAACTACGCCTTGTCAGCATCTAGTGTCTTGTCAACACCAGGAACGAAACCCTACCAGCGCCTAATGTGTCAACACCAGAAACTACACCTTGCCAGCGTTTAGTGTCGTGTCAACTACACTACCAACAGCAGAACTACACCACTACTACCATCAGAGGAACTACACTACCATCAACAGAATACACCACCAACAGAATAACTACACCATCAACAGAATAACTACACCACCACCAACAGAAGAACTACACCACCACCAGCACAGTCACTCCGGCAATCACTCCACACAACCAATCCTGAACCAGCACGACCACAACCGATCAACAAGATGTCACCATAACTAACCCAACAGCCGCTCCACCACAAACAATTACGTTCCTACGTTATTGCGAGACTGTACAACCGACATCCAGCTATACGTCACTCAACTAACGAACAAGTTGCATATAACACTACAACCACCACCACTACCACCAGGGCATCTACCACAACCTCCATCACTACCGTACACTAGCCTAACAACTCCCCCCCAGGTATAACCAAGTGGAATAAAACATCAAAAAGCCGTCAATCCACAGCCATACACCCACCACCAATAACTTTAAGATTATTCCACCACTACCATCCTCTCAACCACACCAGACCCCCACCAACCACACCCCCCAACGCCACCACAAACTGTCCCATGTTAGACTACCCACTTCACTTCCTTGGACGGAACAGCACAGTGTCGTGGGGGGACAGCAGCGCCTCCTTGGCTGTGGTGATGGTGGCCCTGGCAGTGCTGCTCTTCACCTGCTGTGCTGCCGCTGCACTCTTCCTGGTGGCCTGCTGTGGCAGCCGCAGGAGGGACGCCGTTGCAGAGACGGGCGATTCACGCTGGCTGCCAGGAATTGGTCTCATCGACTACGTTCCCGTATCCGACAGGTGAGTTGATCAACATGTGTCTGCGTCTAAGGGGCGAGCTGATCAATACGTCCCTGTGCCCAACAGGTGGGTTGATCAATACGTCCCTGTGTCCAACAGGCGACTCGATCAATATGTCCCTGTGTCCAACAGGTGGGTTGATCAATACGTCCCTGTGTCCAACAGGTGACTCGATCAATATGTCCCTGTGTCCAACAGGTGAGACTCGATCAATATGTCCCTGTGTCCAACAGGTGGGTTGATCAATATGTTTCACGTGTCCAACAGGCGAGTTAATCAACATGTTACAATGGTCAAGAAGATAGTTACTCGGTGCTACGGTTAGTACTTATATTGAGAGCGTATCCTAATAGGTGAATAGCCCGGCAGCTCTCCTATATAACTGCCATAATAATGACGAGGCAGAGTCGCCTAGATCAATATCCTCCATATTGCTCAGTTGTTAGCCCTGTGGCCCTCAACCCTTCTTGGTATGAGCGTCGACTTTAGTCCTGCGACGATTTATGTCGCCCTGAGATTGTCTTGTAGCTCGCCAATGTTTTCCACAGTATCAAAATCATTACTGTATATTATGATTTATAAATAGTCCCCAGGACGTAACCCTGAACTACCTTGTTAGTGACTGTTCCCCCACTCAGACTGTGTCGTTACAGGTCGTCCGTGCGGGTGTCCCTCCTCTTCTCCGAGAGCAGTCAGGGCTCAGAGCTCCAGGAGGATCTCAATACACCTTCTCCCGAGGCTCTGATTCCTGTACACCTGACATCTCCAACACCTGTACACCTGACATCTCCAACACCTGCGGCAACGACACCCTCAGCGTTCGTGAATTCTTGCGGGAACAGAAGCCAACTTCCCGCCCAGAAGGCAAGTTCCGTGACTATCTCTGCCGCTGTAAAAACGTATCCGCTGCGACAGTCTTCAAGACAGAGGCCTCGCTCGCTTCCAGCTTCTCCAACAAAGTCCTTGTTTTCTTTCGCAATGTTGTCACAGGAGACAACATATCCGGTACTTGTTTCTTTCAACTGCGACCAGGTGTCCAGACCCACACAGACACAGTGGTCCACTGCTTCACTCTCAAGATCAGCGTCGCTTTCCCTGCCGTCCATTATCTCATTAGCCGTTACAAGAGCTCCTTTAACACCAACTGTAGCCAGAACAGAAGCAGCCCCATCATCACCTCCACTTAATGCAACAGCAGCAACATTGTCCATTGTAACGTGGCCTCCCTTTCCCCCTTCACCAGCTCCGGTCTCACTTGCAGCAGCGAGAGAAACTGTCCATGCTTGTAGCAACTTAGCGGCCTGTACACTCAGTAGCTTAAAAGGTGAAAATATGGAAAGCCCTCGTGTATTGGTAAAGACGTGACAATGTGTACTAGTGCATCCATGAATGCCTCCAGGTGGCTGGCCTGAGGTTGTGACCATCTATCACAACCAGTTGTGGAGAGTTGTGGAATTTGGGTTCTGGGTCTTTTCCCAGGTCAGAGGTGTGAGGGTCGTGGCACTCATGTTCCCACCTCGACACTCAGATTGCCACAGTTGATTAAAATTCATCAAATTTTGTACGCACAGTTTTATATGAAACAAAATATTTGTTTACATAACTAAAAAAAAAAAAGAACTGATAATCTGAATTAACATATGCCTAGTCTTCCTTCAGTTCAGTGCAGCATATGCCCTCCACGCGGACATAAGTGATGATTTCAAAGTTTAACAAATTGTTCTCTAAGCTTTAAATTTGCAAGAATTCTGACTCTCGCCTTACGTCATTGTGTCTTAGATATTATGAATCATTTGGGGGGCCTGAGATGTGGGGCATTTACTCCACACTAAGCTAGGATAGTTACCCCAGTCGTCTCACAACCAGTTGGTCCCGAGACAGATTCTTAAGCAAGTTTCCTTACACCTGATGCCTCTGTTTACCTGCCAGTATAATAGGTACAGGGGAGTTAGTCAATTGTTATGGACTGTGGCCTGAAGAAGTCCATAACGTCCTGAAGTCTTTGACCTGCGCACACCTTACTAGAAAATGGTAGATTGTTGTTGTTGGTTAAGATTCAACTACCCTGAACAAAAAGTTCCAAGTAGCACGGGCTATGGTGAGCCCGCAGTGAACTGTTAAATAGTAGCGGCTAGCGAAAGTGACAAACTGTCCCGTTTTCTGTTCGCGGGTCATCTGGTAGGTTAGACCCCATACTAAACTAGTAAGTCACTTAGTACGACAGTGTCTTGACGTTATGAACTCTCAAAAATAACGATCTGGATAACCACAACAGGCTCCATATCCCCAAAGAAGAATCCATACATGAGTATTTCATGTATAACTATTAGTACTCACAATAGTTGATGTTGAGTATTTAGATCGTTACGCAGGTTCGTATTTTGTCAAGTTGAGATGTATAATATAGCTGACATTTCAAGTCTGGCATCAGCTGTGCCTTGGCGGGTCTCTGAGCCCTGAGGGAATATAGTGTCGTGTGTCATGTCACAAGACCTGAGGCTGCATGTCACCCCTCACTGTATCATACATAACACTTAACTCATCTCAAGATGAGTTACATTTATAACTAACTCCCTTTATGAACCCGTTACCATGGTGACCCTCATGAAGCAGTTACCATGGTAACACTAATCAGTTAGAGTTACCACCCTCACTCTCAAGAGTGTTACCATAGTGACACTCATGAAGCAGTTACTATGGCAACCTTCATAAACAGAGTTACCAAGGGGGACCTCCAGTGCATCAGGAGAACATCTGAAACACAAGTCATATTTACAGACATACAAACATTTAATAAAAGTTTTAACTATAAACTACTGTATGTAATTTGTAAGTAAACACAATTGTGCTGTGATATCAACTGGATCTAATTGACCTAATAATAAATTGTGATTAACTTATAGAATTGCTTATCACAATTAGCAAGTCTAATCACTTAGCTTTCAATTGTGAGAAGGAATAGCTTATTCCTTCTCAAACACATAATTGATAAAGCACGTGATTGATGTATATTTGACATGAACAATAAATTTTGTTTCCCATATGAACAAGAAAATTGTTCACAGGAGTCCAAGTGGTTCTCAGGTGTCTTAGGAGTTAGTAAATGCGTTATTCTCCTCTCTCTCTCTGCGTGTCTTTAATAGGTTGTGTTCTAATAAATAAGATGAGTTGTCAGAGGCTGTCATTATACCTTCCAGAGTATGTTAATATGGTAATATTTCGCACACATAAGTGTACAGGTGTGTATAAGGCTGGATGACACAGAGACAGGTGTAGCAGGTGTGTGAGGCAGGATGACACAAGGACAGGTGACGGTTACACCTGGAGGATAGTGTCAAACTGCAACAACAATTTAGATAGATAATATTTAATAGATAGTTTAAATAGGGATAGATAACATCACAAGGTATGGACCCCTTTCCACCCCCACCCCACCCTATATATATGTATATTCCTGCTAACATTTCAGTAGTACTGATTTTATAGTTATCAAAATTTAAATATAATTTTTTCAACCACTGTGACATTTATATATCATGGAATATATACAAAAAAAATCACTAATTCATACTTTACTAAGCACCCCTAGGCCCTGAAAATACTCAGTATATAACAACAACAAAATCTGGATGAAGTGAGAAGAGAAGAGAAGAGAAGAGAAGAGGAGAGAAGAGAAGAGAAGAGAAGAGAAGAGAAGAGAAGAGAAGAGAAGAGAAGAGAAGAGAGAAGAGAAGAGAAGAGAAGAGAAGAGAAGAGAGAGAGAAGAGAAGAGAAGAGAAGAGAAGAGAAGAGAAGAGGAGAGAAGAGAAGAGAAGAGAAGAGAAGAGGAGAGGAGAGGAGAGGAGAGGAGAGGAGAGAAGAGAAGAGAAGAGAAGAGAAGAGGAGAGAAGAGAAGAGAGAAGAGGCATACACCTCTCGTTGTGTATAGATTGACTTTACAAAAACCTCGTTTCTGAACCTCCCTATTGTCGAATTCCTTAATAAACGTCAACTGAAAAACTCCAGTAATAACCTGAGAAATAATAAACACATTATATACATATATATTAAAATTTTCCAGAAATGTTCTAATAGTGCGACTGTACATAACGCGTTCTAATTCTATATAAGTTTAACCCTTAAATTTACATTTTCTATGATAACTTGCAGGTTATAAAAAACGATTCTAGACAACACCGTAGACTGCAATATTTAATCAAGCGGTTAATATTAATGTTCCAATATTGTGGTATAATCGCCAGCCGCTAGTTTCATCGAACGAAAATATATAATTGTGTTAATTAATGTGTCCTAACTAATCTTAACTCTGCCTAACTATATTTTACCTTAGTTATCTTGAATTATCTTACCACAGTTAGTTGGCCTGCCAATGACTAGGTCATCCGGCCTAGTCATATATATTTACCTGACGATTTACAACGAGAATAGAAAGCCAGCGGCTTGTCAAAGGTCCCCCACCCACCCCATTTATCCTTACGATTTTTTCCAGTTAAATTTTAAAATTTAACAGTTTTGGCATTTACGGTTCGGCAGGTAGGCGGTTTCACGGGTTTATAACCACACAATCGACTTGAGAATGGTGCTGGACGGACCGAAACGTCGTCGTCCCTTCATTTTCTAATGTGTGGTTTGGTTAACATATTTCAGCCACGTTATTGTGACTCCTCGCCTGCACAAGGGGGTCCGTAGATATGGCGAACAACGGTCAGTCTCATATACACGCGTAAGCGAGACCGATCTCAAAATTATATGGGATAATTCTTATGTAATTGGTCCCCAATACTGTGGCTTGAAAACACTGATCAAAGTTAACACTGTAGTCCCCAGTGGTAAGACAATCGTCCGGTGCTTCGCGAGAGCTTTGGCCTGGGTTCGTATCCTGGCCGGGGAGGATTTACTGGGCGCAATTCCTTAACTGTAGCCTCTGTTTAACGCAACAGTAAAATGTGTACTTGGATGAAAAAAACTATTCTTCGTGGCAGGGGATCGTATTCCAGGGACCTGCCCGAAACGCTACGCGTACTAGTGGCTCTACAAGAATGTAACAACTCTTGTATATATCTCAAAAAAAAAAAAAAAAAAAAAAGTATGCGGAAAAAATCATATTGAACATTCAACGAATGCTGAACGCGTTTTTCCCCGGTCTAGGCCTTCCTCAAAGCAAAATAATCACTTCTATCTTACTCTAAGGAAGGTCTAGACTAGCCGAAAACGCGTTCAACATTCTCAGATTTTGTTAATGTGATTTTTTAGCATATTTATAATATGTATGAAAATTGAAAATGCCACTGTAGTTATTTATAGTAACGTGTATTATATACAGTAACGTATATACAGTATATAGTAACAAGTATAGCAACAATGACTATTATGTGTAAGTGTAGCCTCCTTCTCTACTACCCATGGGATGGATATAGAGTACATACTGAATGAACAACATCACTCAACCTTGTACTGGCGGTCAACAAGTTGAATGGACTGGAAAAAGTTGTGGAAGCCACTTGAATCCATAGCTTTATTTAATGCCAGATTCGACAAAGAATTCGAAACTCCTATTAGTTAAAGTATATTGCAACAGGAACGTTACGAATTAAGGCCGGACATGAGGAACTAGACCTCCTTACCTTGTGTCTGCCTTGTGACAGTTCCGGGGATCAACGTCCCCGCGGCACGGTCTCTGACCAGGCCTCCTGGTAGGCGCTTACTCCCAGGTATTCGCTGATATGCAAGCTGTGTGCACGCGAGTGTAGAGTGGTACTCACCTAGTTGTGCTTGCTGGGGGTTGAGCTTTGGCTCTATGGTCCCGCCTCTCAACTGCCAATAAACTGGTGTACAGGTTCCCGAGGTGGTGTCTCTGGGAGCATGTGTAGAGTGGTGTTCATGTGTGGGTGTGGCCGGGGTGTTCGTGTGTACATGTGTGTGTGTGTGTGGCGGCCTGGGTGGAATCGTTGGGTGTGTTCCAAGGTGGCCACAGCTGCCATGCCGAGAACAACAGGAAAACCCACATTTATTTCCATTCTTGAAATACCTCTCGTCATAGTTCCTTTAAATAACAAGACATTGGCCATTTTCAAGTAAACATGTGATCATAACAAACCAGTACGGCCCACACACGTGCTCAGAGGAGTACGGGGGTTAAGAATTTTAAGTAAGAGTTTGATGGCATCTATTGAAGAGCGGGTCGGTGGGAGCGGCCTGGTGGCTCATCAGTGTCTGGTGTGTTTGTGTAGCGTAGGTGGCTCGCGCCTCCTCACACGGATATATCATCCACGTCCACTCTACCTCATGGATTCTACTACCGTGTACCTCCATACCACCGTGTAACCCGTCTTAGTGTAGTATAACCGTTGCGGAAAATGTCCATCGCGAGTGCTGGATAATACCGCCTTGTATTAAAAATATAACCACTCCCCTTTTGGCGGAGTATACAGGCCATGCGTGTGTCATTAACCAAGGCTAAGATCATCCAGGCATGAGTTCTCGAGGACTTGTATGCTAATATATCAAGATTTGAGCGTGTATGTGCGAGTGTGTGTCTGGGTGCTCGTGTAACTAAGAGCTGTCAGCAGCAGCAGCAGCAGCAGCAGCAGCATGAGGCAGACAGTAGCCCTGTGTGTGGTGGCGGCGGTTATATCCACAGTGGTGACATTCGACGTGGGTAAGTCCTTGTTTGTGTTACTGTGGCAGCTAGTCCCCCCTACCTGTTACCCCTCCCTCGGTCGCACCACCACAATCGATCAGGTCAACCCACCATAGCCTTGTCAGTCACTATACCGGAAGTGAGGCGTGACCTAGAAATGTGACGTTGTAGGCGGTATGCTGGAGCCAGACGTATAGGTATTGTAGAGCTATTGCACGTGGTTGCTGTAGAGGGAGGCACGTGGTTGCTGTAGAGGGAGGCACGTGGTTGTTGTAGAGAAAGACACGTGACAATTGTAGGGAGAGGTACATATGACTCGGAGTTAAAAAGCGTGTGGCAGCTGCATTTTCATTTTACAGTAAAAGTTCAACATGTTTTTTTCATGCTCATATGCCAGAAGTTGACAATTGATTGTTGAATTTAGTTCAGAATAATGCACTCAGATAATGTAGTATAGATCAGTGGAAAGTCGAGGCCGGCTGCCTGTTCCCGTCGGGGCCACTAGAGAGAGATGGTGGCTCTCAGGTACATTCAGGTAACTTTACATGTATACACGTTAGTGTATTGCAATGCATGGTATTGGTAAGTGAATTGAATTTGATTTAAAATGTCTCTCTCTTGCATTTTAAATTACATATATGAATTCAAATATCATTATTTTAAGTTCTTTATCGTATCAAATGTATGCCCTTAATCCATAGGGTTTAATACCTTTGCGACTTCATTTAAAAGTAACAAATATACTACAAGTCTTAATGTATACAAAGATTCAGTATACAAACAACATTCAGTATATCAACGTTATGTATATAAGAACTTTGATGTGGACATAGTATGCAGAGGTGGTACTCACCTAGTTGTGAGTACACACACACACACACACACACACACACACACAAAGACAGTCTATTTAACACAAGGGGAACACGCACAAGGGGACACAGGTGGAAACTGAGTGCCCAAATGAGCCACAGAGATATTAGAAAGAACTTTTTTAGTGTCAGAGTGGTTGACAAATGGAATGCATTAGGGGGTGATGTGGTGGAGGCTGACTCCATACACAGTTTCAAATGTAGATATGACAGAGCCCGATAGGCTCAGGAATCTGTACACCTGTTGATTGACGGTTGAGAGGCGGGACCAAAGAGCCAGAGCTCAACCCCCGCAAACACAACTAGGTGAGTACACACACACACACGGGAGTCTCGCGGTTGAGTGGCCAGCGTTCTGGAGCCATAGTCCTAAGGGCCCGGGTTCGAGCCCCGGCCGAGGCAAAAACAAGCGGGCAGCTTCTTTCACCCTGATGCCCCTGTTTACCTAGCAGTGTGTGTGTGAGTGTAGACTGTGTGTGAGTGTGTATGAAGATATATATTGTCTTACGGACATACAACAGTGGTAGTGTCACCGTAAAGCAAATCCACAATCCAGATAATTTTGAAAGTATTTGTGTATATGAATTGTGGATCATAATTTAGGCTACTGCCAAAGTGGTGCAGCTCTAAGGTAGTGTCGTAAGAAATTAGTGGGAGTTATAACTTCAACATTACATCATAAATGTGAGACAGGTTAAATATACACAATCTGTTTCGTATATTATCACAGTACTGTGGAAGAAGTTACATGCATATCAATGCCTCATCCACTATAATCTGTAGACTCGTATAATACTAATCTTCAACAAAGGCTCCAAGTTTCTAAAGTTTGCTAATGAACATCTCACCATATATAAACTCTTAGAAAACTATTTCCAATCCCAAGTAACCATTTTTGTCTCTACATAGGCCTACACTTTAAGAGCTTACTATTAGCCTATCAAATGGATTAATCTGGCGATTAATAGACACGTGAAAATAAAATGGAACCAAGCCTAGTTGAATACAAGTCTAAATTGTTTAACTTAAATTCATTTACGTGCAGTTTCTGGACGTATTTTGCGATTTAACTTTCTGCAATATCTCACAGGTTGACTCTGTCCAGCGCCTTCATAATACACTGAATGGTGAAGTTGCCAGTCCCTGGTGTAGTGGAGCCCTTAGTGGAGTAAGGGAGGAGGTGTGGGTGTGATGGAGCCCTTAGTGGAGTAAGGGAGGTGGTGTGGGTGTGATGGAGCCCTTAGTGGAGGGAGGTGTAGCCAGCCCCAGGGTACGAGCAGGCTACACACCACAACGTCCCGTCTCCCCTGCATCACCTACCAAAATAGACAGAGCTCTTCACTGTTCCTGTAACCCACCGTATTACTGTGGCTAAGGTTGCCATGCAAGATTTTTTGCTTATTTCTTAATTAATAAGGCATATCCTGGGATAATATATATATACATATATATATATTATATATATATATAGATGTGTGTGTGGCTGTAGAACTCTTGAAGATCATTGGCTGTCAAGCAGGAGTCAAGAATGAGCGGGCATTTCCCCTCTGTATTATAATAGCCCACTAAGGCACCGGTAAGGAAACTGGTCGCCCTTGGGTCCCTTGTTTCAGTGCGTCTGGAGCCCAAATTACCATGGAACATACCTGGTGAGAGTTCTTGGAGTTTTTCTACTCCCCCGAGCCCGACCTGGGGATCAGGCTAGAACAAAGGTGGATGTATTCAATAGGCACTTAGATAGGTTCTTGCAGGAAGTGCCGGACCAAGCAGGCTGTAGTGGATTTGTGGGTCTGCGGGCCGCTTGGACTGTTGGACCAAGTTATCACAAGTCTAGCCTGGCCTCAGGCCGGGCTCGGGGAGTAGAAGGTACTCCCGGAACCCTCTCCAGGTATTCTCCAGGTAATCAAAACTTCAGTACCAGAGAAGAAGAGGTGCATCTGAAGGTCACTGCTCCAAGCCGAGTACTTACACTCTAGAACAACACAATGCCACTGTTGCGTTAGATGAAGCGTTTCGGGTGTGTGGAATGTGTAAGAGATGCGGTAACACTGTTCTCTCGTGTTGAGAAACACGAACAGCGAGCACAAGAAATGTTTCACTGAGATGGTAAACAGGTTTGTAGTGTCGCTGAAAAATTATACACGAGGAAGTAGGAGGAACAGCTCATCACCAGACCAGACCTGACATGGCCTTCAGAGAAAGGCATTACTGAGAGTCCTAAAGCAGGAGGAATAAAGTTTGCGGAATGTTATTATATTCAGGAAGTAGATAATGCAAATGAGTGTCTTGGCGTTAATGTGGTAGTAGTCCAAGGTTGTGTAGTGTCCCTCTGCTTGTGTAGTCTAGAGCTTCGCCGGAGGGAAGACGCGCTAACAATATTAATGAAGAATGGGAACTTACTCCATAGTTTAATTAAATGGAATACTGCTCATGTAATACCTGGATATGATGTAATTCTTCTAGTAGAGATACGTAGGTGTTTTGTGGATGTTGTATGTAAGAGATTATCACTGAAGGTCTTGGTGTATGTGAGAGATTATCGCTGACGGTCTTGGTGTATGAAAGTGATTATCACTGACGGTCTTGTTGTATGAAAGAGATTATCACTGAAGGTCTTGTTGCATGAAAGAGATTATCACTGAAGGTCTTGTTGTATGAAAGAGATTATCACTGAAGGTCTTGTTGTATGAAAGAGATTATCACTGAAGGTCTTGTATGAAAGAGTAATCACTGACGGTCCTGTTGCATGCAAGAGTAATCACTGAAAGAGTAATGGGGTTGCAATGAGTGCAACCTTCAGACACTCAAGTGATGGAGGAGTGCAAGAAGCGGTTGACCAGTTTCATGACCTTGTTTGCGTGCTTGCCTATCAGCACTTACATACACGTGACTACGGGGACGTAAGGTCGAGCTCCAGGCGATGAGTCACAATAACGTGGCTAAAGTATGGTCCAGGACGGACCGCAACGTCGTCGTCCCTTAACCTTCTAGTGTGTGGTCTGGTCAATAAGGTCTAGCTCACTATATGCCTCCCTTAGTAGCCTTGGTGTACCTGTTAGCGTATCAGTTTATTCTGACACCTTAGTCAAGTCTGGTATTATAGTTATGAATGAGTCTCGTGAATTGAACATCTAAGGTGGATTGGTGATGTTATAAGAGGGTAGATAGAGCGGGGGAATTATATTAAAACTTTGTGTGGAAAGCTGATAGATAAGAATTCAGAGAGTGTACCGAGATGTTCGAGTATATTGAATGAAAGATCGTGATAGTTTGATGGAAGTGTTTGACAGGGTATTTGAGGGTTGGAGGAGATGAAGACCAGCAGACATGGTGGGTGGGTGTGCGAGACTGTCAACCACAGTAGGGAAAGTGGTTTGAGAAGATGTGAAAGTCTGAGATGTTTCCTGTCTTGCCCAATTCGCGAGAAGCACCACATGTCAAAGATTTTACCAAGTATTTTCGTGTTCACTTAAGAAACCTGCACATCTTTGTTCAATCATGGTGTCATAGTTGACATTTAGTAAACAGCTTATGAACTCCGAAGTGCAACCAGGAGGTTGATACCTGGTTGATGGGGTTCTGGGAGTTCTTCTACTCCCCAAGCCCGGCCCGAGGCCAGACTTGACTTGTGAGAGTTTGGTCCACCAGGCTGTTGCTTGGAGCGGCCCGCAGGCCCACATACCCATCACAGCCCGGTTGGTCCGGCACTCCTTGAAGGAATAAACAAAAATAATCTTGGAGTCGAAGAGTATTATTGTTAGCTAGTAAAGTGCTTAATAGATACAGACTAAGCCGCCACGATCGAAGAACTATGTCAAGATTTCCGTAAGTGGATAGGTAAATTGATGACTCCTGGCCGTGGTCTTGTGGAGAGGTTGGTTGTTGCTGTGTATGGGGGTAAGGGACGGAGAGGTGGTGGTGCTGGTTGAAATTGAAATAAGTTTATTGAGGTAAAATACAGACAAAGGGATGAGGTAGCTCAAGCTATTCTCACCCCGTTCAGTACATCGTGTTAATACATACATAGACACACATCACAAACAATAAACGTATTACCGAACATTCTGAGAGATAAACATATACATTTCCTATGTGCTGGTTGCCCATGATGCTGTTGACTGCTGACCAATCCACACACTAGAAAAT